TATAGATGAAGTTGCTTGAAGAGCAAGTTTAAATTTTTCATGCTGAGAGAGTTTTTTTTTTTTTGGAGCTACATGAAACGCTATACAAGATTCTTCAGTTGTGGCAGGTGTACTAAAAACTCGCTGATGCTGGCGATAATAATTCCTGGTCCACCTTTCTCGACATAGCTCAGCATCAAACAGATTTATTTCTTGCAACTGGCGAACAGCAAAGATATGGCGACATGGCAGACTCATAAATTTGCGAAACATACAATCACACGAGTTAGAAGTAACTTTAAGTAGACCTTCACTGCTATTAACAACATAATTTTGGTTCTCAGCTGATAAAACATTGACTTTGCAACACAAGGTAATTTGTTTTAGTACTTGATAGAATGCATACGATGTAAGAATATTCCTATAACCTGCCTCAGCAGAATTAGAATCAAATAGATCAACACAAATTTTCTGCATTTGAAAAATAGTTTTATGGTTTCTTTCATTCCGCATTGAGGTTAACAAAACATAAAACATATCAAGGAAGTTTTCAAAAGTACTATTAGAGTCAATAACCTCCTTGAGTTTTCCGTTGAAATTTTCTAAGCGATTATTAGTTGTGTTCATAAAATTTGAGCAAGCATGATTTAATCCTAAAACCCACTCATTACGTATATTGTGCCAATTTTTGTTAAAATATTCCAAAACTGGGGTTGGTGCTGAAGAAATAAATATTTCATAAATTTCATTATATTGCTCCTCTGATTTTGCATAAGCTAATTTCTGAACTTGCTCAAGACACGATATTCGTTGCCCACTTGTTATACCAAGCTTAATAGTAGTAATTTCACGATTAAAAGACCTATAGATACAAAAATATAAAAATATAAATTTGAATGCACAAGATGTAAAACTAGACTACTCACCATTTAAAGACAAGAATGATCATGCACTATTGGAGGGATAAATAAAATAAAGTTAAATAAATTGCTACAATAAAAAGTAATGTGATTTTAATGTGCATCAATAATTTGTCAATAATTAGCTTTGTTAATTATTGAGAAAAGTCACACGTTGCATACTTTTATTATTATAATGTTTTGTATAACGATCTTTAATTGTTGACAAGAGTCACAAATTGTATTTTTAAATGCTATATATAGCAAACAATTTTTTTGTAAAAACGTTTGTTCTTATTACAAAAATGCCATATTGCTAGTGGATGCCTTAAATATTGGACTAAAGTACAAGGATTTACTTTTGAAAACTGTTTTCTCAGTAGAAAACAAAGAATGCATGCTTGCACAGTGTGATAATTGTCCTGATAAAGAGCCCCTCACCAAATATATGTATAAGATTTTTGGAGAAAAGAAGATAACTTTGAAATACACTACAAGCAATGGCAAACTACTGATCATGCAACACTATTGAGTTTAACAGCAGATCTTCCAATGTTTGTGGAACTATTTGCATCTTGCTTTGAAAAGCTACAAGCTCATTCTTTTAATGCTCACTCTCAATCACAGTACCAACTAAAACAAAATATGGATCAATCAAACATTATCATTATTGGCGACTTTGCTAAAAATTATGCTTTTAAAGTTTAAGATGAAATATAGAGCTATCATTGAAACACCCAACAATGATTTTTACAACCCTCAGTGATATACTATAAAGATGATAAAGGTGTACTAAAACATATTTTTTTACTGTTTTATATCAGGCAACATTTCACATGATGTAACTTATGTGTATAAAATATTCTTACTAATCATACCAATATTAAAAGCAAAATTTTCCAAGCTGTCTAAATTAAATTTACTCATTGATAGTTGCGCAGGACAGTACAAAAATTGTAAAAGCTTTTACAATCAATGCCAACTAGAGAGTGAGTTTTTCTCTCAAAGTTGAATGGCCATGTGCCACAGAAAGTCACCATACTGCCAATCCTAGGCAGTACTTAAAAAAAGCTAACAGCGCAAGAAAGAAAAGTTTTTAAGTTCTTAGAAATTGGTTTACTAACTTCAATTATTTTTGCTTCAGCCAATCTTACAAACTCGTTATACTTAAAGTTACTTTTTTCTGTTTTAAATACTAATTAAAATTATAAAGCCCACTCACTAAACATCATCAGCGTTATTGTGAAACAGTTCCGCTTCCTCCTCACAAAGTAATTTAACGTTTTTAGTTAATTTCTATCTAGCTAATTGAATTTCTACAGTAACTTAGTGATTTAATTATTTCATTTTTTCATCTTACTAAGAACAAATGTTTAAACTATGTTAAACTTTTTAAACTACGCAAAGCATAAAATATATATATATATATATATATATATATATATATATATATATATATATATATATATATATATATATATACACATAATTTATATATATATATATATATATATATATATATATATATATATATATATATATATATATATATATATATTATATATATATATATATATATATATATATATACATAATATATATATACATATATATATACATATTATTAGCTTACTTTACCTAAGAGTGTGAAATAAGCAGAGTAACAGAGTTGCATCTGGAAAAGAAGCACGTAGTACACCTCTTTCTGTCATGTCTTTGTCTGTCATGATAACATTAGTCTTAGACCACGAAACATTGTTTCTTTGAAATGATTCCACAAACCAACTAAAAGTAATAAAAAAGAGTTTTATATTATAATAAAAAACTTTTTATATGCTAATCATATAACTTAAAAAAGTAAAAGAAAGAAGTATCATCATCATAAACATTCCTGGAGGATTCCACAGTCCTGCAGAGTGTATTCCCTGGTTGTAATAAGACTATAAGGATTGCAGCTTTAGGTACCAGGATTGTTTTTTCAAATCACTATAGTATAAGTCATTATAGTATAGTAAATATTATACACATTTTTTGGGAATATTTATTCCTACATTACTAATGCATGTATCAGTAATGTATTATACATACATTATTAATGCATGTATTATATGCCTACACAAATCAAACCTCAATGATTCTGCATCTTCATTTTTAAGTAAAGCTACAGCAGCTACCTCACTTTCACCTATATAATAACATAAATATTAGTTTCTAAAAAAGTAATATACATACGAAATACAAATACACTAATTTATTTCAGAAAAAAAAAATTAACAATTTTGCAAAATATATTTAAAGTCATTTTGTAACCAAACACAAAATACATAAAGCAATATACTAACCAGCACTATCTTCACAAATTATTATATAGACAGGCATTCGAGTTTCTAATAGCTTATATGTTGCATCCATACATATAAACTCAGGATATGCATTGAATGCATTATGCATGTCGAGATCTTGAAAAAAAATTCCTTTTAAAATCCCTTCTGGATCTGTTGAAACTTCAACATGTGCATCTGAAAATATATTTTAATTATATATTTTAATAAAATTATACTTTTATGTAAAAGAATAATAAGTTTTTCTTCTTTCCTAGTACAAAGCATAAAATACATTTTTCAAAAATGTATTTTTCTCTCTATTTCTAGCACGCAAAAAAAAAGAGACAACTTTTGATCAACTATAGTTCTATTGTAATAACAAAACTTTTAATAGAAACTGCTTGAATAAAAAAAAAAAATTTAATGCTATATTTGTCAAATAAAAATTATTTTTAGCATAATGGGCAAGCGGCAGTTTTCCGAAATTGGACCTCCACCTTATGCTAGTAATTTTTTTAAATGTGTCTTAAAATATTGTCTGGATACATATCACTGTCCACTAAAGTGTACCAAAAACATTCTTTTTTTTTCTTCAGGATACCTCTTAATTTTTTGCCATTCTCTGAAGTCCATTGAGGCTAAAAATTTTGTAAAGTCCACTGAGGCTATTAACAACCAAAAAACAAAATCAGTTATCAAAAAGTGATTTCTAAAAAAAAATAATCTTTTGAAAATGATGTTTTGGTGTCAATGTTATTTAATTTTCTAGGACATTTTTCTTATTTTCTTGTTGTTTTTTTAAACATTTATTGATAAATTGTAAAGTGAATAATATTATTAATGGTGTAATGCATGCTTTTATTTTATATGAATATTGAGTTTTTGAAACAGGCTCAAGAGGGCATTGACCACAGAGATAATATGGAGCCTTCCATTGTTAGCTAAATTATATTATCAATTGCTTTTTTTTTTTTGGGAGGGGGAGAGTACATTTAGTTTAAAAATGGCACATTTAAATTTCTGTTTCATATGGGGAAACCAAAACTAACAGTTATTAGCAGGTCAATAGAGCTTACTGAGCAGGGTTTCTATAGATTGTGATTCATGCTTATAAGAGCTTACTAAGCTGGTAGGAACTTACTGACATGGTAGGATAGCTGAGATTTATGTTGGATAGTTAAAACGGCGGAAAATGACTGTTATTTTACATATTTAACAGGTTTTTGAAGCTAATTGAATGTGTCAATGGCTGCACAGAAAAGATTATCTTACTGATCCAAAACTTTGTTAGAGACTATTGATTGGGCAACATAATAAAGAACCTCATAGTGGTCACTAAAGAATAAGTTCTTAAAATAGAAATAAATATTTTTAAAAGACTTTCATTTTTCACAAAAAATTGCACTTTTTTTTTGAAAAATGAAATTTTACAGCTATCACTTTGTCTGGAAAAAAAAGTTTTTTTTGGTAATTTTACCCTATTTGGACCTTTGAGAAAAAATTGAGAGGTATTGCTTTTTTTTTGGTACACCCAACTGCCCCTAGAAAATATTTTTTGCCTTTCAGCATTTACTTTAACCTATATTTTATGAATATCTTCAGCTATATTTTAAGACTATCTGCATTCTAGGTGTATTAAATTTAAAAAGAACGATTCAAAATCCTATTTAAACTATTTGAGTTAGACATATGACTCTAAGAGAAAAAAAAAGAAGTCTCAGACTGATTAGATTAGGGATAGTGACTGCATCTGGACAATTAGGACCAAAATTGAGAACAACAACAAGAACAACAAGTATTTATTAATATGCTTATAGATTTATAGTAAACAATATAATAGCAATAACTGTACAAAGGTATTTTAAATACTACTTACTATATTTTTCTTTTAAAGTTGTCACAAATGATGTGATATCATTCCGGCTATCATTTTTGTGAGAAGAAGCAGCAATATTTGATATATCTCTAAGAGTTATAACTTTGCCTGTGGAACTAATTAATTCTTTTTGCAGCAGCTTTTTGTTTGGCTTTAACTTCATTAACTCTTTAGCTTTATGAATAGCATAATCTGGAAGCTTTCGTTGATTAGGCAGGTGCTTATAGAGAATCTGATGGATTTTAAAAAGAAAAACAACAAAAATCAAAGTGGTTCATCTGAGATAAATACAATCAAGTAATATGGAAAAGTATGAGAAATTAAATAAACTTATAACTTACTTCAGAAACTTCATGATTGTGATTATTATCCATATCTTGCAAAACTAATGATTGTCTATCTTCTGATGCTTTAAAATGCAGGTAGAAAGGACAGTCTTTTTTAAAAGTTCTATAATAATTATAATAACATAACATTACTAACTAACATAAAGTAAACATCTAATAGTTGTGATAACATATAATAATAATAAGAATGTTTATTAGCTATTTGATATTTTGTGACTTGATATTTTTCACCGTGACTTTTTGATTTTGTTTTTTGATTTTTTAAATTTTATTCTTAATGATTGCCTGCCCTAACTAAAACCTTTTGATATGCATTCACATGTAATGTTGCTTCTCTTTCTCTTTTCTAAAAATACTATAGTTGCTGCTCCATAGAGCTAGCTTCTTATGTGCCATCTACTAAAAATAATTCTTGTGTTTAGAGTTGCAAAAAAACGTTAAAAAAAATATATATATTTTTTGGTTTTTCTGGTGTTGTATTGCTTTTTTTAACAATTTTTTAGTTTTTTTTTCGACATAAATTTTGGAAAAGTTTTCCTTTATTCTGGTATAATTTTAGTATTTGGCCATTTAAGACTTAATTAGATTTATAAACACCAATTTAAAATAAATTTTCAATAAAAAATTTAAATTAGCTTTATGTTAGTTACATATCTAGGCATACTGTATGGAAATGTTTATTTATTTGCTTTGTTGTACTAACATCTGTTATATCATTATATTTATCATTATATATAGAAACTATTCTTATCCTATAAGAAAGATACCATTTTAATTTTGATAATGTTAATATATTAGTATATAATACCATACAAGTTTAATATCAGACTTTAAATGCTCATAAAAAAAAGCAATCTAACGATATTGTTTACTTATTTGAGCATTGGTATATTGTTTAGTAATTAAGTCTTACATTTTTTGTTTGTTATATTTGTCAAAAAAATATATATTGTTAGTAGGCCCTTATAAAAAAAATAGCCCTATACTAAACTTAATTTCAAGGAAAATTTAAATATTTTAAATTATTATTATTATTTACGGATCTGTATTTTTTTTTCTAACTACATGATTTATTTATCTAGACATTTTCATATAGCACTATATCAGAACACTTGCTAAATTCTTTAACATGCTTTGTTTTTCAATTTCTATTATTAGACATAATCTTATGGTGAAAGGATTGTTTAACTTTTTCCATTTTGCTATTTTGGTTCAGAGGTTTAAAAAAATGGGTGACTAAAATTTTATTTCTGTCCCCTGTATGGAGAGCCTATTCATAATGTTCTTTATACATATATATACATACATACATACATACATACATACATACATACATACATACATACATACATACATACATACATACATACATACATACATATATACATATATATATATATATATATATATATATATATATATATATATATATATATATATATATATATATATATATATATATATATATATATATGTATGTATGTATATACCCTATCGGCACATCTAGTTTCTTTTTCAGAAATAAAACCTATATAGGCACGTGTTTTTCACAATCCAGGCATAAACCAAAAGCACGTGTATATTACGGGCAGTTTTACTAGAGTTTAACACGTGTTTTTTGAGGTTTTAAAGTCAAATTTAAATGTCGCATATTTTTATCAGTGGTTTTACTTTCCTTACGGAAAGTTATTAAAATATAATACTACGTTTCCATAACGGTGAAACCATTAATACTTTAACTGGTAATTATGGTAAATAGTAATAGTTAATTTCATGGAATAAAAACCATTTAGGATACGTGTTATTCTTTTTGCTTTTGAAGGTTTTAAAACGCAACAGAAACCAAGCGTAACTATTTTCTGAGTTGTGCCATCTGGGTACAGATATTATGGTGTTTAAAAACCATAAAAACCTTTTAGTGGGGGGAATAAAAGTAAATATTTAGCGAAAGAGTTCAAATTGTGATACCAGCTTGAAACTTTCAGGAAGTTGTCTATGAATTAAAAGAATACAAAAAAAAAAAGACCCCATTCTGAAAATATTTTTTTGGTCCTGGGGCGACCCCCAACTGAGTTGACTGTAAAACTATAAAATCTTCTGAACCAATTATATAAGGTTGCATTAAGCAGAATGTTAAGAAACAATAAACAACTATACCACATTACTAATTAAAATATGATTAAAAGCATAAAAAAAGTTTTATTTATATATTTCAGAGTAATGGAACTAATTTTTTTTAAAACTTGTTAACAAAAATGAGGTTTGTTCATTTTATTCAAAACACTGACCAGAACACTCGCATAGGTCTGTACAGGATAATCCTGAACATTTGCATTTGTATTGTGTTCCGCAACTTTTCTTGCATCTACATTTTATTAACTCGATGCATGATTTTGATGCCTCAGGTAGAGTCATCCACAAAGGTGTCATTGCGTTATTTGTTTTTTTCCAACCCCATTAAGTAGCTTCGGGTAAAATCTGCTGTGGCACCTAGGATTGTCCCCATATAATACTAAAAAAGTAATTATTTGTAAGTATCATTTTTAAATATTTGATTCAACAAAATTTTTTGAATAGAATAATAAGTCCATTTAAATATTTAAAAAAATATGCACCTTCCTTGAAACACAGCTCTTTTTAAATGCTGAAAGAGTGCATCTTTTGTAGGTGGTAACCTTTCACTCTGTCGTGAATTTTTAGTGAACAGCATTTTTCAGCATATGGTGAGGTCAGTAGTGGAACTTATTTATCATAAAGTAGAATAACGTAGCGCTCAAACTTTAGAAATGTATCAGGTGAAATAACTCTAGTGCTTGGAGATGACAAGCTGAAAAATAAAATAAAACCACATATTTGACTAAATTTGCACAAAAAAAGCAGCCTATAGGAAAATGATTTTAGAAGTTAGCAGCAGAAGCTAGCAAATCTAAAATTACTGCCATTTTATACTATTTAAACATAGGTTAGCTAGGTAACCTGCAAAATGCACTAATAATTTCTTCATCTCCATTGTTCCAGAGATTCCATGCAAGTTTTTTCCTCGTCCTGCAAAGGATGACACGGTATCACAGCCAGTGAATGCAAACCACAATGAAACAGCTTCTGCTTTTTCACCTATCTTTTGTGCGTAATAGTGTATTGGAAGCCATCGTTTAAGTTTTCCAACTCCAAATTCTATCCAAAGTTGCTTGATACCCGTTAACTGTTTAAAAACGGAAATTGAGATCGCAACAACATTTGTGTCAACTGTTTGAATACAGACAACTTGGTGCCCTATGCAGGCCTTCTCAGGAGACGCGTGCGGTCGCACGCCTTGAATGACCACGCATATATATTTTTTTGTTGATAACATAGCCACGATTTTTTTTTGCATTTATTAAAAATGACGCATCTTAAAAATGCGCTAAAAAAACAAAATTAATTGCTCATCTTTTTTTAATTATTATAACTCATTATTATAGTTATTAATGAGAAAATAAAAACATTAATATAACATATATGGGCAATTCCATTTTTAACTTAAGTTACATGCGCAACAACTTTACCAAATATTAGCTTATTTAAACTTTTAGCAATTTTGTATGAAAGCTGTTAGTCTAATAAATAAAATAAGCTTAAAAGTTTTGAGTTCGACCAAAAGAGAGCAAACTTATTACTAAAAATGCCACTTGCACTTATGTTACACAGAAAACAAGGTAAAAAAACAAATTTAACTTATAGGTCTCATTTCTGCAAATCAGTAAAGCAGTTTGTTTTAGAAACTTTTACAAAATGTAGATAATTCTATACCAATTTAAAATTTTTATAAAACCTTTTTTAAAACAAACTTGTTTTTTTGAAACTGTATTTTTTACTTAAATTACAACACCTACATTACCGAGCGGTTATCGTGATTTTTTTTATCTATTATTAAGAGTTAGAGTTACATAACAAAAGAATTGCATAAGTATTAAACTCATTCATTAAAAATATTTAACAAAGAAATTTTTTAAAAACTGGTGGCACCCTTCCTGAGTGATTTTTCATAACATTCATGAAAGTTATCAAACCGGAAATAGTTTTTTCGCAAGACCAAGAGCAACTTCAGAAAAATATTTTAGTCTTAAATCTTTATTATTACTTAATTGAGTAATTGGTTTGTCGAAGTTTTTATTTACATTTTTTTACGTTTATGTGTATTGCTTTATTTTTTTAAGATTGAATTTTTATAATGCTGCTAAGTTAAATTTTTAAATACTTAAATCTTTTCTAAACATCTATATGTCAACCAAAATAATAGTACATAAACAAACATACAAAAAAAAAAAAATAAATAAATAAATAATTTTAATACATAAAAAAAAAAAAGTTTTTTTTTTAATTCTCCTTATATAAAAAGTTTCAGTTAAAACCTTGTCAAGCCAACAGGAAGAAATAATAATTACTTAATGATGTAATTCATTTAGTAAACAAAAACTTAACGAAAAATTGCCAGAATTTTATTAAACGCATGAAAACAAATAAAAATATATATATATTTATATATTATTTTTATCCTTTTATTTTATCATTAATTACAAATATATATATATATTATATATATATATATATATATATATATATATATATATATATATATATATATATATATATATATATATATATATATATATATATATATATATATATATATATATATATATGTGCATTATTGTTAGGTTTTTATTTTCTCATAAATAATTATAATAACAAATTATTATTATTAAAAAACCAATAAGATGACTATTTAGTTTGATTTTTTCAGCACGTTTTTAAAATGCATAGTTTTTAATAAATGCAAAAATAATCATGGCCATGTTATCAACAAAAAAATAATTATGCGTGGTCATTCAATGTCTCTACTTGTACAAAGTTTATTGCAAACATTTTAAACAACTCATTTTTATTTTCATCCAATCGTAAGAACTGTGACCAGTTTTTCCAGATGGGAGTTGAATCAGAAACATTTTTTCTTACACCATTCCCACGACTTTCCTTAGTCTGGGTTTTTAAACTACATTCAGCCGTTATCTCCTTTTATGATTTTGATGTTTTGTTCATGGGCCTCGTCAATAGCCATAGATAAAAAAAGGTGTCTTGTCTTTTGAAATGTGAAAAAACCTTTGCAGAACTCAGTGTAAACCTAAGGGTGTTTATAAGGAAGTATCTTCATGTCAGCAAGAAAAATTGGAAGCCATCTAGCATCTAGTGCCTGTGATCTAAAGCAAACATCCAAGGAACAATTTGTTCCTTGGCACTGATAAACATATTAAAATTTCCCATTCTGAAACTCTTAACAAGCAACAGGACTATTGCTTGCAACTCCATAGCAGTAAACCAATAATTAAATTGGGTGTATGCTGTTTTTTGTTCATGGATCCACAAGTCAAAGGATATTGTAGATACTTTCTGGAATGCTTCAGTCAATAGAGAATAAAAACTAACTAACGAAACTTGTGCTGCATACCTTGAACGTTTTACTTTTCGACCAGTGAGCATAGATTCAGCTCGTCCAGAAGTTGTTATACCAGCTTTAGTTATTGCATCACACCAACCACTGCCTTCTAACCAATTTCCAACTAAAGATAAGGAGGCCATTTCTATGTGTTAACCTCCCATCATCATTAAAAGTTTATCTTCGCCATACAGTTTCGGATAGTGCCACTGAACTTGTTTACCTAATGCATAAACTGGTTGGTCAGCAGTTATTATAGGCACTTGAGTTGGGTTGATTTTTGCAAGAACTTTTTTAACTATATTAAAAGTTTGTCTTACCATAGATGTTGAGTTGATCGATTCATTAATGATTGGCAACAAAATAGAAGTATTTTTTGTTTTCTGTTCATCTATGTCTTTAAATTAAATGCTGCCCAAGAAATGTGCGTTGTTCCTTCCCCTTCTGATTTGTTTTGTAAAACTTTAACTACAGCTGTAAGCCATTCTCTTGAATCACTAAAAGCATCAAAGTTCTCGAATTGGTGGAAATTTGTTGTTTGTACTCTACATATACTCTACAGAATGGTCTTTAGTAGGCTCTATTGTTGTGTAATATGATGGTAACTCCAAAATAGCGTTAGTCGCTTTTTCCGAAAAATCATAATCATACCTCTTTACAGGTAAGTCTTTCTCAGCATGTTGAAATATGGAGATAGTAGTAGCTGTACTAGAAGAAGGGTTATGATCAATTTATCAATTTGTATGCAAGTTTACAATGATAACTTGTATTGTTATCATTGTAAAGCTTGCATAGTTGATTTGAAAGTGTGATTTTAATGGCATCAACTCTTGTTTGAGGTACACTAAATCCGAACTTTGCTAAATTATTTACAATTCCTTTTTTTCGTGTTTTCGAATATATGTTTAAACCAACATATAATGGAAACGGTGGAATTGTACCTGCTTTATGACGTTTATGTTTTCCTTCTCGTTTGGCTTCGACATTTTTTTTCAAACTATTGAAATATATTAAAATTATTATTTGGTGATTTCTGGCTTACAAATTAATCAATAAATCAGTTATGAAAGTGTCATGTAAATGAAAAAAAATAAAAATTCTAAATCAGTAGTTAAAAACAATATTAGACTATCAAACAAATCATAGCAACTCATAAATGTGATTCAAATAGTACAATTTTTAATTTTTAGTACTTTAATGGATAGAAGAGCTATAAATAGCTTGCCTGTGTTCACGATAATGCCCATTTACATCTCTACATCTAATCAGCATTTCATTTACTCTAAAAAATTTTAAAACATCAGAATAGAATAGAATAGAAAAGATACTGTAAACACTTGAGGTGTATTAAGTCTTAATTATGTAGAATTAAGAATATGACATCAGATAACAAAAAATATTGTTCAGAAACAAAATTATTTATTGATGCTGTTTTTAAAAAAGGTTAAATTTATCTTTGTCTATTATCCATTGAGAAAGAGAACTCCAATCATTTGTAACTCTGTTTGTGAAGAAATGATGAGGAATTCTTGAATTGGTAAATTATCTGCATATTCTACAATTATTACTTCTACTTGATCGTTCCAGCTCACAATTTAATGGTGAAAAATATTTTTCCTATTTAAGATCTTACACATTTGAATCAGATCGCCTCTTCTTCTTCTATCGTGCAAAGTTGGCAACTCAAGTATCTTTTTTCATACAATTTCCCCCTTAAAGATTTGATTCTAATACCCCTTCTAATACCCCGTATTGCACAAGTTTAAGATTGTCAATGTCTTTCTTCCAAATAGACTCCAAACTGTTGCTCTATTTTCCAAATGTGGACATACTAACAATTTATATATTAGCTTTAATGAAAATTTATCTAAATAGTCAAAAGAGTTTTTGATCATGCTTTCTGTTTTTTTCTGTTTGCTTTGCCTATAGCTGAATTAATATGATATTTCCACTCTCTTGATTATCAGTAGTTATGATATCATTATATAGCTTTATTGCTTTGATAGAGTCTTTAAATATTGTTTTCTTTAAATTTCAACGTTTAAATTTTCTGTTTAATGTTTTATTTTATTTAAAACTTAAAGTTTAAATTTTTTGTTTCCTTTGCTTAATTAGCTGAATTAATATGATATTTCCACTTGATTATCAGTAGTTATAATACTATTAGATAGCTTTATTGCTTTGATAAAGTCTTTAAATATTGTTTTTTTTTTTTTTTATATATGCATAGACACTTTAAGGATTGTTTTTTGAATTAAGTACCAAGTTTCTTTCAAAATTGTGAATACTTTTTTTGACAAGTTTTTTTTATATCTTTTCTTAATTTTTAATACTTATTGATTTCTAAAAAACTTTTAAAACCTAAATTTCTGTTTCAAAACAATTTTTTCTTTCTTAATATATACTTTTAAGTTCACTTGTCATGTACAGTGAGTTGTTTTTGTGTTGAAATGAATTTTTATCTAAATTCAGTGTTGGAACAAAAGTATTATTAATAATAAGTTTAAGTTAATAATGTATTATTAACAATCTGAACAGTACATGTAAAATTTGTTTAGAATACTGCTAATTAAATTTATAATAATTAAATTATAGTAAATGTAATACAATTTTGTAAAAATTGTACAACATTTATTATAATATTTTAATTGAACAGGAAATTATTATGTAAAAAACACATAAACTTACGAAGATTTACGTTTTCCCTCGCCACTATATTTAAATTTTTGACCACCATGGATACAACAATACTTGATGAAATAGTATTTAATTTGAGGTGCCATATCAGCAGCTTTTTTAGGAATAGATTTTCTAGCACTCTCGATAGTTCTGGCATCTCTAATCCACAATTTAGTAAAATTGCTATCTTCGTATTTTTTTATGTTTTCTTTTAGGATAAAAAATGACGAAAAAGAATCTAAACAAGTAAACACGAAAGCCATTTTTACTATATAATATTATTATGCGAGTTTATATATATTATATAAAAACTCAATTCGTTTTGACACGTGACATTCTTAACCAATGAAAGGGACTTTCGGTAGGATAAGATTTTTTTTTTGGCTACCGACTTTCGGTAGGCTATCCACGGCGATTAAAGTTATAGAGATTTATAATGGAAAAAAAATGTAAATACTGAACTTATATCATATAGAATTTTCAAGAGATCGAAAACATGTTCAGATGATTTTCCTGAAAGAACATTATCGTTTAAAAATCGATATTTTTTGTTTAACTTGGGCTACAATGCTCAAAGACTGATATTATTAAATGTAAATATAATACAGCTTTTTCAAAAAATGATCCATTAAATTATGTTGAATTTAATGCTAAGCGTTGTTTTTTAATAGAGCATCAAGAATTAAAAAAGGAAATTGATAACTTTAAAAAAGAACTTCAGCACGAAATAAAAAAATAAAGATTTATTTGAAAAATTAACTTAAACCACATCAGTTATTACTATGAAAACAGACAAACTTGTATATAAACATAATCCAAACAAATCGTGTTATTGCAATTTACTTGTATACAAACATTTATTTTAAAAATAATAGATCTTGCGACTTTTATACTGGCCTTACATCTGTCAATGTGTTTCATCAGTTAGTGCAGTATCACCATTAATCAAAAGAGATAAAGTGATATTAAAAAACATTTACTTCTGTTTTTTGAAATTTAAAAAAATCCTTAACTACTTGGACCAAAATAAATGTAATGCAGCAAAGATGAATTTTTAATGATGCTAATACTTGGATTATTGACAGCTGATTTTGCTGACAGGTTTAATATATTTTTAGGATTATTGAATGCAATATTTTCTTCATTATATATTTTCTTTTTATATTGTTGTAATGTTTGTATTCATTCCCTGTTAGTTTCTGTAAGTCAAAATTTTAAGGTGTTTCCATAATAAATTCTGTTATATCTGAAATTTAGTGTTAGTCTTAATAATTTAATTTCTAAAATCTGTTTTGCATTGCCTGCCTTATAACATCTTTACTTGAAACAAAAACCACATGGTTTTGATTAATGGTGATTAGTACCCGTAGATCCAAATTCATCAATAATTTCTTTAAAAAATTTTTAAAGCTTACAGAAGCTAAATTTTGGATAAAAAAATTACATATCGCAACATTTATTTAGATTGTATTACAAAATACTCTTGTATAATGTATGATTAAGGCTTTAATATTAATTTTTTAATACAAATGAAGTGATTTTAATTAAATCCATTTTTATCAGTCACTTTATTAATATGATGAGTATTTGTATAAAGATAATTAAAATTTCAAACAATAATATTAGCTTTACTTGTTGTTTTTTTTTAGGTGAATCAATTGCAATTGATAGAATATCTTTAAAATGCTGAGGTAATCAAAATAATTTTTAATTATTCAGGAATTTTAAGGATTAAATTATTTAGCAAAAAAATTGTTTGATAATGAGTTCAATTTAAATTAAAAAAAAAAATTAATGTTAGTTCTCGCACAATTTATATCAGTTCTCTTATCTATTAAAATTTAGAATATTTTCCAACAATTTTGTGACCTCCATGAATATAAAGGGGAAAGGTGGAAATATGCTTTAAGAGCACTAATTTATATGGTGTAGTGAAAGGTATACCTTTATAAGATATGTAAAACTTTTTTATTCTCATTTTTTATATATTCAAAAATTTCTCCTTGTGTTTTTTTTTTTTTTTTTTTCTAATTCTTTTTTATTAACAGCTTCTTTTATTAAATACGATGGAGCGACTGAAACTTTAATTGATGGCATTTTGTCTAACTTCTAAAAATGCTCTTCATTTCGAAAAGGTGGCGCAAAAGAAAAAAAATTTAGATTGATTGATATAAATTTATATTTATAAAAATCGATCTAAAATTTCTTTATTGAAATATTTACATATATTTTAATAAAGAAATATTTTTTTTTTGTCTGCTAATATTTTTTTTTTCAGTGTTAATTCAACATTACAAATTAAAACTCAATAATGAAAAAAGCCTAGAATTGAGTTGACGTTTTAAGTAAAATAAGAAAAGCCCAAAAAGTAACTGATGTAATATTTTTATTTTTTGATAAAAAAAAAATTCTAATAATGTTTAAAATTGGTATTAATATTAATGTTTATTAAATGAAGACAAGTAAAAAATAAGTAATGTTTATTAGATGAAGATAAGTAAAAAAATAAGTTACAAGTTATTTTTTTGTCTTGAAAATTGTTTGAATGATAATTTATTATTTATCAAAATATTTTCTTTTTTAATTTTTGTTGTTTTTATATTTTAATTAAAAGTAGATATTATTGTGTCATATATTATAATATACCTTATATTATACTATTATATTTTATATTAATAATGAGTATTTTTGTTTTTTTGTTTTAGCAACCTAGTATTCTTTCATTATTTGTCTTTGTTATTGAGCCTTAAGTTATTTAAACATAATATATTCAGAACTCTGCTGAATAATAGAGTAATAAATAAATTAATAAAAATGAGTTTAGAATATAATAAATTTATAAAATAAAGAAAATCTTATCTTTGCTTATAATGTCTACTAATATTATTGTTTAGCAAGTATCATGGTTATAAAATGTTCAAATTTAGCTAGTTTAATTAGGCCTGTTAGTACACTTATATTATGGTTTCTTCATTTTATATTAGTTCATGTAATTTTTTCAAAATCGAATATGCGGAAAGGAGCTGTTTGGAATGAAGATTTACAAGAAGAAGTAATTCCATCTGATTGGATTAGTGATAAAACTGTTTGTCAGCTTCTAGGTACCAAAGCATTGACTGTACTAAAATGCATAGAAGAATTGGCTTAAGTTTATACAAATAAAAACTAAATTCTCTTCAGGTATTACATCTATATATTACAATTATTATGTTTTAAATAATGTGGTAAGAAGAGTTATTTTGTTGATACAAAATATATAACTATTTGTATAACTATTTTAATTCTAAAAGAAAGCAAACAGTATTGTGAAAATTTTAAATTCACAACTACAAAAGAAAAATGTTATAATGAGAATGTTGACAAGTGGATGCAAGATTTGCACACAAGTGGAAACTTGGATGCAAATTTTCCACTTGTGTGGTTTGGATGGTTCTCCACAATATAATATATCTCCACAAGCATAATATTAGATTTACTTCATGTTTTTTTACAGATAAATCAATTACAGTTAATTGGTGGAGTTACCTCATTTATAATCAGGGTGTCTGCAGCTCCTCTAAAATCCTCTAAAGTCCTCTTTTTTTAAAACCACTTCTAAAATCCTCTATTATCCTCTAAAGAGGTAAAAATTTGATCAAAGCTCCTCATTAATTCTTCCTTTTTTAATTTTTGATGGATGTATAATGTTCAAAATACCCATTCTCGGTCTGCAAAACTGGTTAACGTCTTAAAGTGCATGGAATTGTAAAAAATTGCTTTAGAAAATGCATGCTATTTAACATAGCGAATGACATTATTTGATCCCTGTCCAAGCCCCATAAGTGTATAAACATGGACGTTAAACCATTAATAAATGGCCACATAAAATTTCTTATAAAAAATTATGTGGCCACCCCGAAAATTATTTTTCAATGCTAGAAATGTTTTATATTTTGATTATTAATTTATTTTTAATATATTAAAAAGGTTGTTTTATTTAAATTAAATATTTGAAAAAGTTATTGATAACCAACTAACAGTTATATTATTTTTTAAAAACTCAGAGTATTTTCGAAAAGTTATATGGCCTCCATGGATATTAAGGGTAAAGGTGGAAAAATATTTTTTAAGAACACTAATCTATATGGCGTTGAAAAAGATATACCTTCATAAGTTGTAACACTTTTCCATTCATTATTTATTTTTTAAATCTTCCCTTTTTGTTTTTGTTTTTAATATATTTTTTTATTTACAGCTTCTTATATTGTACTCAATGGACCAAAAGAATGCTCGGTTAATGGAACATTGCTTGACTTTCTAAATTACGCTTTATTTCAAAAAGATGGTGGACAAGAGAAGAAATTTGTGTAGATTTTATTCAATTACATGTAAATATATGTAATATTTGAATATGTATTTTTGAATAAAACAAGTTTTATCTCTTTCTTTAATCATACCTAGCTATTTAAACTAAACTAAACTGAAAAAGTTCTAAATAGTCTAAGTATAGACTATGAATAGATTTAATATCCATAATATACCTTGAAAATGTACAGCAACACTAATGTACATGCATAGTAAGTTTTGATGGTGATCATATTATGACGCACATAGCACGTTTACATACATATATACATTTTGACATACATAGCACGTTTTGATGATGAAAAAGTATTTTACAGTCGTTTAACGTTGATAAATCAACGTTAAAAAAACTATCATTTTAAACGTTGTATCAACGTAAATTCAACGTTGTTGTAACCTTTTTTTCGCTTCGAATTAACGTTGATATAACGTTAGAATCTAACGTTGATTTAACGTTGATAAATCAACGTTGAAAAAAACTTTCATTCTAAACGTTAAATCAACGTAAATTCAACGTTATTGTAACGTTTTTTCGCGTCGAATCAACGTTGATATAATGTTTGAACCTAACGTTGATTTAACGTTGATAAATCAACGTTGAAAAAAACTTTCATTCTAAACGTTAAACCAACGTTAATTCAACGTTAGGTTTCAACGATATTTCAACGTTATTTGCCGGATGGGCTAGATACAAGGTAGCCAAAAGTTGATAGCTACGTAACGCAGTTTTATAGATAGCGAATTTTTTGCGATATGACGCTAGCTACATTTCGCAATTGTTTAGCTGGTAACTAGATAGCGATAAATCTATAGCTAGCCGCTAGCTATATATCGTAGTTTTTAGATAGCGACTTTTATTACGATTTATCGCTAGTTACATATTGTAGCTTTATAGCTAGCTACAAGATAGCCACAAATCAATAGCTAGTTGATAGCTACGTAACGC